TCATGCATATTTTGCCATGTAAACATACTACAGCAGCAGATCGTCTCCCTCTCTTCTCTCACCATGCATACACGGGAGTTGGTTTCGTAAAGTGATTCAACCTTCGGTAATGTAAAACTACTTAGCGCTCGCAGCTCGACAAAAAACTACATATATGTGAATGTGCGATAGTTAGAGTAGCCTAACAGCCTGTTAGAGAAGAAATGGCAGAGCATAAAGGTTCAGGTGGAAAAAAACCCCATCTCTGCTAAAAGGGAAATAAATTGCCTAGATCCCAGGGTCCATTTTTTGTATTTGGGAGCTGTTTAAATGTGTAATTAGTGGTAGATTTTATTTTGTTGTACTATTAATATTGTATACAGAATCTGAATCTCACTCTGAGTTACTGTTGTTGTTTACAAACTAAAGAAATGAGAGATCAGTTTTGTTCATATTTGAAGGTAAAGTGGTTAACATGTAAAACATTATCACTTATTTTGTTGCAATACCGTTTTCTTAAATTGATAATAAAATATAAATACATTTTTTTCTTTTACTAATTAGTCATATCATCAAGAATATTATCGCAAAAATACCTTGAATTATAGTGATATTATTTTAGGGCCATATTGCCCACCCCTAGTGATTGGACCTTTATACCATGGTCTGGGTGAATACCCAGTTCTGACTGACTGCAGGATGTCCACTAAAACCTGATATAGGACACCTTCTAAGTATTGCTGGTGAAACGGTCTGTTCAGTGCTCTAAATTAATGTGCTAGCTATATAATAGTATCAGCCTGTGTCTAATACGAGTAACCATAGCAAAAGGGATGCAGTCAAAGCCCTTGTTTACAGTTTATTTCCAACACTGAGTGTCGTCCTTCAGTCCTCTGAACACCACAGGAGGGAGACTCTTATGCTGTGTTCACACTACGAGCGACTCAGCAACAGACTACAGTTCATTTTCAATGGAGGCCAGTGACACAAGGGTACAAACTGACACCCAACACTTGTTGCTGCTGACAGTCATGGAGCGCTACAACAAAAGTTCTCAACTTTTTTCAGCACTCCAATGATGCAGTGAGGCATCAGCCAATCATATAGTTTGTTTTTAGCTATGGTACTGTGTTATTTACCTTAGTTAGCTGATGCTATGCTAGCTTTCTGTGTATTGCAGTGCATATGGGGATGCAATGAGGTGGTGAAATGTGGTGTTAAAATGGGGCTCATCATAGGCAGATATTTTATGTCCAAATACAAACTTTAGATGACGTTCAGTCGAGGTGCTTTGTGGCAGGTAGCTGGTGGTGACTAACTATTTTAATGAGCGCTTGAACAATATTTCAACAGCGATAGTGATAATGTTGCTTGGCTCACTGTTGCTTTATCGATCGTAGTGTGAACACAGCATATCACACACGCTGCAAGAAGTACACTGGCCCTCTAACCCAACCGATACTTTGTATCACATCAGCGATTATCTCACATTCTATTGGCAGTTCAACTTGCTGTTTCAGGCCGCGGCTGACAGTAATTTTACACATGGCGTATTATTTGTTTGTGAAAATTTTGATATTGATTTGGGGACATGATGATATGGCTGGATAGCCAGCTCTTCTTGTTGATAAACATCCTGCCAAATTATGTTTATTGTTCTTGACTTTGAATCTTGCAAGCATAATGGTAGCTGTCAAAGGGTTCTATGAGCTAAGCAAGTTGTATCTAAGGTTCATCTTATTTACTGGAGCAGTGAATGTTTCCATTATAGTAGAACCTTATGGGGCGGTAGTGATTGTTCCTCCAGGTATTAGGTAAACCCTCAGGTGTTACCAGAGACACTTAGCTTGTGAAAAACTTAACATTTTGATTTAATTATTTTTTTCTTTGGCAAGTGACCATGGTATAAGCTGCATAATGCACTTTGAGGTGTCCATAATCAGGAATTAATTGCATCTGCGAAAGCAGCTGTCTGCTTTGCAATGGACAGTTCACCCCTCCCCGTCAGCCATTAATTCCTGATAATGGACACCTCGTCAGGCATTATCCCTTATGTATTGGACATAACAAAGTTGTCATGACAATCTAATGTTCTGTATCTCAAAAAACTCTCAATCTATCTATGAAACCCTCAGTGAATCTTGAAAATTCTGCTGGCCTGCTTAAATTGTGTTATCTAGCAGTGCAGAAAGTGGAGTGAACTGTACAGGTGTATGGCCTGTAAAGCTAGTTGACCAGCAGCTGGCGCTAATCTCTGACTCTGAGCTGCTGGTGGTCTGTGCTTAGAGCAGCACAGCAGTGTACCTCATTGTGTTTCATGGTGCCCGGGAACTGACAGTTGTAGTACGCTGACAATGTCACTGTCTTGCAATAACATAGGTCATTTTTATTGACTTCGGCAAATAATTTATGCATTTAGGAAATACAGTTTGTAGTGACAGTTGTTGCTTAAAAGTATCTTCAGATGTGAACTAAAAGTTTTTTGTAACCTAAACCTCTGTTTTGGTTAAACAGAGGTTTAGGTTACAAAAACGTTCTGATTAATGAACATGGTTGGCACAGCTAATAATGGTTGCTAAGTAGCAGAGCTATTACAGAGGATGTTCATTTTATGGACTGAACAGATGCAAAGAAAAGTATCAGTTGCTTAAATGTTATGTGTTGTCATCAGGAGGGTGTGGTTGTGTTGAGATAGCTCTTGACTGACATCTTCCAGACGTTCCAATGACTTTTGTTGTGGGATAAACCCAGCTTTTATCATTCTGATGAGTTTAAATTTGGTGACCTACTGTAATTTCAGCGTAGTTCAGCCATTTAAGTGACCCATTTGTAGCCACACAGGCTTAACCATGATAAATGTGTATCTATCAGACAAACACAATTTGAAACAAGTAACTTCTTAGTTGTGCATTGCCTTAAATGGCCTCGTCATGATAGGATGGATTTGGCACAGAGAGCTGCCTCATTGGGAAAAATATTATCTCAAGTGTGTCAACATCAAGAGGTTGCAGGACAAATATCACCCATATGGAAAATCATGGTAACTTTGTTCTCATCCCTCAATTTTGTTAAACAATGCTCACCAAGTTGCATGAGGTTATATTAAAATTTCTGCTTCCACAACTGCTTATTTTAATCCTGTTTCCACTTTTTATTTTCATATTAATTGATGTCTCAACAACACTGCAACATTTATCTTAATTTATAAAGTTACTAATAGTGAAATAGTCACAGTGATGACAAACAAACTGGCTCCACTGTCTTTTTCAGACACTGGGAAATTGAATGCAGCATGAATACCAGTGTTCATATCCTCAAAGCTATGGTACAAATGGTTTCAGGGTTCCATGGATTAGATCCTTTCCAGACATAGAGTTTAAATTTGATCTCTGCAGGTGTCAATCAGGGGTGAGAAGGCTGCTATATAGCCTCCGGTTTGTGGCATTTTTTTAGTGAGAAAATCGTCTTTTTTGTTCTCCGTCTGTGTTCCGGTCTTTTGGCAGATTTCAACAACACACAAAGGCTGCATTTGAAAAGCGCTGGAAGTGGATGAAAGCAAACCACAGTAATAAGAAGCAGCACATAGCCCCAATACATGAGGGGAGCAATTCTCTCAGCAGAAAATAAATATGAATTGTACTACTGGAGAGAAGGACACTGATTACAATCTGCTAGGGTGCAAACAGTGTTGTACTGTGGTGAGCCACTAAAAGGCCAATTGTCTGGAATGTGAGGCTGTGGGTAGGAGGACTTAGAAGGACCCGAAAATAGGTATTGATTATAATAAGGCAAGGTTCCACTTTCCTATAATAGAGAGGGAAGTTCTGGTTTTCCAAAGGGAGTAAAAGCGTTTATCCACATCCTCTCTGGGGTTAACAACCTGCGATCTTCTGTTGTCTCGGAAAATGAGGAAACACCATTCCCTTGATAGACAACAAATAAGTATTGCAAGAATGTGATACATAATATGTACTGCTGGTGTTTGAGCTCTCTTCAATAGAGCTACAGGGATGCTCCCACACTATAGAAACATTTTTTTCTGAAATTTATAAGCAAGTTGTTTGTAATGTTTGAGGCCATAGTATTATCTGAACATGCAACCATCCCCTCTGTTACGTTAAAACATGCAATTGTCCAGTACCTGCTTCAGTTACTGTCCATTACAGTGGCAATCAAATCAGTCTCTCTATTCATCAAATGTTGCATTTTTTCATAAAATCTTTATTAATGCAGCTGTAATTAGACTCATATATAATTCTCAGTGTGATGACTAATGACACAAACATTAAAGAAAAAAAGGACCCTGTCTGGAGTGTCTGGTTGGAAAGACACGTTTGCTCTCATGCCATACCACAGGAACTCGGTCTGATTACTGACAAGCTTCAAATTGCAGTCCTCTAAAGGATAATGTAAGTTCCCCCATCCCCTCAATCCCCACATCCTCCGTTCGTCTTCAAGAGATAATCAGTGAATATACTGGATCAGTACCTTTAATGCAACATGTTTTCTCTTCATTTTTAAAAAATATATGCCTGCCAGGTTTTTAGCATGCTGTAATTCCATTCTCTGAAACCCCAAAAGAAACAAGGAGATAGAAGGAAAATCTCACTCCCTTATGCAAAATTTGTCAGATTTCTCCAGCTAACTTTAGTTGTGTCATTTTTTGAAATCATATTTCTCCCCAGCTTTTTCTGGAGAACGTTTGAAAAGCTCACACAGTGACGGAGTAGGAAAAACCTATAACACCAAAATCTTTACAGTAGGTCAGGTCCACTAACTTGCAAAGTATGGACTGACTTTGGAAAAAATCTTCCTTCATCAAAAATGTTTTGTGACCATAATTAAATTACAGGGCCACAGTAGTAATGTAATCTGCGTGTGTCCGGTCATGGTAATAGGCTGCCTGTTGAATGAGGGTGGGCAGCACCAGAGGCCTCACATGTTCGTGTAAAGAATGTCCCTCTTTGTTACGTGCAGATCATTCTGTTTCTCATCTGTCTATAACTTCTCTTCCTCCTCAGGTCTTCTGAAGACGGACAGTTTTGCCGACAAGAGGCCTTTGTTGGGGGTGTGCAAGAGCACAGGGTCTTCTGGGTGAGTTCATGCATCATAATAAAGCTGACATTGCTACCTTTCCCAATAGGATCTTTGACATTTTTAACTCTACACTAATACTATAATAACTGCAGTCACTGATTAGCACACCATCAACCAGATATGAGTCACAACTCCTACAGTTAAGCCAAACATACCTTAAGCTTATATGGGTAATCTGGTGCCCATGGATCGAAAACACAACGAGATCTTAAGTTGAACCATGAAGGATGCCGCTGTGTTGTGAAGTGTGACAGGTTGTGTCAGAATGTGTCAAATTAACTGCCTATATGAGGAGCTAAATATTATGGTTAGGCCAAACTCAAGTCCTCCTCTCACAGAAAATAGCTAACAAAAGTCTAGTAATGAAGCACATTTTGAAATAATGACTATGTGAATGCCATATAAGGTGTTTAAGAGCTATACTTAAGGCCACTTAGTCCATTTCCACCAAGCAGTCCAGTATTGTTTAGTTCAGTTTAGTATGCAATTTTTTTGGTCTCCAATGTGAAAACTGTTGGGGTACCTAGCACACAGATCTGAATGAGAATGAGTGGATGTTTAAACGTTTAAAAATATATACAGGGGTTAAAGTTCTCCGGCACAGCGCCGGATTTCCGGTGTGGTGAAGTTTCTGTCCGGCACGGGTAGAAGTGCTCTGCAGTGCGAGCATTTCACTCGCATTTGCTCCTAAAAATATATATATGTGCGAACCGGGAAAATGATTTAGGCGTACAGTGTGCAAGTAAACACAACCTACTGTTTACCATAATCGGCATCAGATGTTTTTTTCATCGATAACTGATCAAAAAAATGTATTTTAAAACTCGCTCCTTTGGCTCAGATACAGCTGTCTCCCTCCCTGCCTGCAGTCCTCACTGCACTGGGCTTTGTAACAATGTCCCGCCTACAGCCCCCTGTGATTGGTTACACGGCACAAGTGATAGCCAATCAACACTGACGCCTGTGCATGCTTTCACATCATGTCACTTTGAGACACAGAGCATAGAGAGAGCGGGAGAGGCTCCGGTAAGCCAGCGGTAATTTTGAAGGTAAGGTAACAGGAACCAGACAGAAATGTAAGTTGCAATAAAAATCCTCTATGCTGAAGTTTTAAAGTCACCCCCACAACATTATATGATCCATTTCAATGATGACATGCTTGCCCAGAGGCGTAATTTCGACGTAACTGCCTGTTTAATTCACATCAAGCGCGATACAATTTTGCAAACAGCCTAAATGATTTAGTTTCTAAAAATAAATATCACCAAGGCAATAAAGAGATGTAGGAGCTATAAGTCAAAAATTCTGGTAACTACTGAAAGTTTAATCTTTATTTATAAACTCATTATGCTATAAAAGTTTAATCTGAAAAGCTAAAGCTATAATCTTTTGTTTGTTTTGATAATAAACACGTTCCTTTGCAACACATATATTTATATTTCTTCATTTTCTGACCGCAACACCAAGACCCCCGCTCCGGAAAAGATTTCAGATTTCAGGCACACAAAACTTCCGTGCTCCTCATTTCAGGCACAAAATTTTTTCTTGCTTTAACCCCTGTATATATTAATTTTGACCAGAATATGTGAGCTGCATATATGCTAATCCTCACTTGGAGAGGAAAAAATCGTGTCATGGAGCGTTGTTCCTGTGGGCTATGGCAACATTAAACCCCTGCGCTTGCTTGAGAAGGAATAAATGCACAAATCAGATATTTTTAAATATCCAATGGACAGAGACTCTCACTGCAGCTTGTTCTGTTTTGTTCTGAAAAAGCCAAAGAATTCTCAGTAGGCGCTCCAGTCGGTGCGCTACAGAGTGACGTTCATTTACCAGAGGCTTTTTATATCTGGCCGATTTTTGGAGACTGTGGCGGGGGAACTATGGCAGGCCGCCATAGTCTCGTCAATATATGGGAAACACTGCTCGGGCAAATTTACAAGGAATGCATTGCAACCACTAATAGCACCATGAATAGTGCATCACTTAAAGTCACTATCTACCTTTTCCTAAGGTCTGATTCACAAAAAGTTAAACACACCCATAACATTTTGCAGCTGAGTGAATTATGTCAGAATGATACCCCTTTTACATGGAGGGCTCAGACATGGGTTAAACCAGATTTTGTGTTTGAAAGGGTTAACCTGTGTTTACCGCCTCTGCTTTGGGACCTAGGTTGAGAGGTGGGTCAGACAATGGTTGGACCAGGGTCAATTTTAATATGAATGGCACACCACCAGGGTCACTCATAATAGGGGCAGGACTAGTTATGTAATTGGTTGCAAATGAGGGCACAGTCATGATGCAATTGTCAGAGGTCACTGCAGCCCAGCACAGACACTGGAAAATCACATTTTTGTTTAAGTTTTTTTAACAGTATGTTGATTTCACTACTGCAGAAGTTCCTCCTCTTATAGCCTTTTTTTGGTGGCACCCCTTCTCTAGCATGTGTCAGAATCTTGTGCTTACGCCACAACACCTGCCCTTACAGTATATAGTGTTAAGGGGGCTCTACCTGTGCTAACAGGTTACCTATGATCAAGTTGAATTCATCATTCAGCACACCTGGGTAAGAGCAGATGGATGGTTAGATGGTAAAGAACATTTGTCTTTGGAGTTGACTTCTTTTATTCTCTGTTTGAAATTAAGTAACCATGATATTACAGGCCAAAGCAGTTAACTGACAGTTAACAGTTAACTTACTTTAATTTAGCTCAATGATAACTGTCAAGGTTCATAGACAAAACAATTGTTTTTTTTGTTTTTTTTTTGTTTGTTTTTTTTTGCTAATCACCATTATTAGCTTAAGCACATTTAAATTGCATAAATTAGCCTAGCGGCTAGCAGACTTTTCCTAGTTTGACAAATTACACGTATTATTTATACTTTTTCTTACTCACTGTTGGCTTAAGTCACTGCATCTCCGCACAGAACAGCAGTGTTGAATTTCAGTCTGCATGCATGTTTATTTTAGCCGAACATTGTTGAAGCATAGCAGTATGCTGCTTTATTGCTGCCAGAAGTTATTGCCGGGACACTGGCCAGGCAGATATCTCCTGTTCTCCTGTCTTATAACAGCATTGTTTACATATGGCACGTGCTTTATCTTTTGACCCATATTTTCTCTGAAATAAAAAATATTTCCACACTGCTGATTTCTTGCCGTGTAAATAAAGTTATCTTCATCGTCTTTCTCTTGGCTGCTTGCCATCTGCTTGCCTGCTGCTGGACGGTGACACAGAATTTCTATATGTGTGTGTGGAACCTAAATGTGGAATTTTTAGCACATCTGTTGTATTGGATTGCATGAAAATTGTATAGGTATACCTCATAAATTCTTCTTCTTCTTCTTCTTCTTCTTCTTCTTCTTCTTATTGGGGATGCACCCATTTGTCGGCTGCACATCGATATTCTCCTTATTGACTGCCATCGGCCCATCAGCAAATAAGATGACATTCACTGATGGCAGAGGCCAATGTTTTTCTGTTGTGTCACATTAATTTTGCGCAGGCTAAAAAGCTTAAAACTAATGTTGTCTCGTTGTCAAGGGGACAACAGAAAACATATTTGGTATGGACAGACACTATCGGGACAAAAGGACACAATCAACTAACTATGGACATGTCAGGGGTCACACCCTATTGTTTCTGTGATGATGCTACATTGTCAGCAACAAATCTGTGTTGACATCAGCAGGAGGAGAGTTTGTTAACGTTAGCTGTTAGCAGCTGGTGGCCAGAACTAACTCCTGACTGAGTTACATTATGATGCGTTGAAGCTCTATTTAGTAAAAATGATTATTGGGCAAAGGCAAGTTGTAAGTTCTCATGATGTGTTCAGATGTAATCTTGTAAAATTTAGTTTTTGGTGAGAAACTTAAATAAATACAGCTGTGTGAGGGAGAAATTTGTTGGTGTTTTCACAGCAATATAAAATCAATATTAGAGAGGGAATTATGATATGTATAGTAAAAGGGCTTTTGAGCAGTAATTATGTTTTAAAGATGTTTTTAATGTGAGAGGTTATATCAACAGTTGTTTCATAAATGTGTATGATTGAATTGGTGCTCATTCACAGAATGGGGAATACAACAGGAAAAAATCCGAAATAAAACATTGTTATCTGTTGTCAGCCAAATTGTTATTTTGGACATGAGAATTGCATTGGTGCATCCATAATAATAATAATGATGATGATGATAAGGATAGGGATTGGGATAAGGTGGCCATGGTCCTGAGAAGTACACAACTGTTAGAAGGAGAGAAACTAAACTGTGCTGTTGGAATGTGCCATCCGTATCACATTTACCCTTAAAACGTGCAGAATGGAGTGATAGGTGTTATACTCTCGCTGTTATGAAGTACTGATCCTACACCTTAAAATTATTTTCTGTTATACATAAGAGATGCCAAAGGACACCCAACTTCTTGTTATGAACCCTACATATGCATCCAGCTGGAGCTGAGCCAGTGATGTGTGCTTAGTTACTCTGATTCGTGGATTTTTAGTGGCACAATGGTTGGCAGATAGATTAAAACAGATAAAACAGATGTGTACATCCCTGGGATTCTCATAGCTGGGACTGGGAATATCATGTCTTTATTTAGTGACAAAAGTAAATTTATATCTTGCACTCCCCTCACCATACCCAGTCCATGTCTTCTTCTTTCCCCCTCCCCCATTTCCTTAAGCTCCTCTTCTAGAGCAGCTCAAAATTTAACTCAATATATCCTCCTTGGGAAATGAAATAAGGAAGTCTGTCTTCAGCTAGGCCTTAATGGAGACCACCTTCTTGATGTTTTCCAGGGACTGCCGCCCCTGTCTGTTTGACGCCATTGCTTCTGCTTTTCTTATGTCCTCACTGACACTGAGACAGGCAGCGTTTTGATGGCTTGGCGAATCATCCAGGCGTTGCTTGACACTAATGCTGAAAACATGCACTGTGTTGAAAAGCAGAAACCCTGACCTCTGGCTGAATGGCACAGTCTGGTTCTTCC